ATAATATTGGATAATAAGAATATAAACTGTAAATAATTTAAAATATTTTCTATAGTAATCAAATAATGAAAAATAGATTAAATAATTTAGAGGTATTAAAGCTTTTAAATAAGAAAAAGATTTAATAGCATTCAAAAAAATATTTTTAATAGATATTAATGGATAGAATAATAATTACATTAATTAATGTAGTAAGAATAAAATCATTATTTCACATATATAAATTAATAATTCTATAAAATAATTTTGAAAAAAATTAATAGTTATTAATAATAGTTTTAAAATCTCCATCTATATCTATTTTATATTTATATATACTAAAATTAATATTTATTGCATTTTTATTAATTGTTTATTATATTTTTGTGAAAAATATAATTTCAATTTATCAATTTATTTTATATTCTTAGTAATCAATTAATCATAAGTACACAGTTTTTTGAAATTTAATTTATTCATAACAATAATTATTAAACAATTAATTTTTAACCTTAATATCTTAATTTATTCTTATATAAAATTAATTACATAAAAGTGTTATATGAAATTGATAATTATTACTTCGAAATTTTTGTAATTTTAAGAAACTTTAACCTTTTTCTTTGTTATCTTTTTTTTAACAAAAACAATGACTCCTCAACAAAGCTTGGTAGGACTTTGTTTCATCAAAGCTTAGTAGAAATATGTTCTTTATTTTCTTTCCAATAAGAACCAAAAGATATACAAGCATAGATAGTAAGAATGGAAATAAACAAGATTCATTCATTTGGTGATAGTTGGTCAATGGAAGTGATGACGAAAATCCAACATAACAAACCCACAAAAAAAGGGTAAAATAATGAAAACTACCCCTAAGTTTTAGGAAATGAAAATTTTTTCCTTCCATTTGCAAAATCCTTTAAAGTACTTTTAGGCTGCGTTTGGTTTGAGGGAAAATTTTGGTGCAATGGGAAACGAAGGGATGGGATGGGAGGAGAAAGAGAAAATGAGTGAAAATTTTTCATGTTCCATTGTTTGGTTGCAAAAGGGAAAAAGTGGGGAGATAACCTTAATAACAATTATTAATTAATTAATTAATACATAGACAGTAGTATTTTTATTATTTTATCTTTTATTATTAATTAATTAATATTTATAATCAGCTAATAAATATTGATTAATTAATTAATATTTAATTAACTCTTTTGTTGTTAATTATTAATTAGTTAATAAAACTTTTTTATTATGTAGTAATTTATTATTAATTATTAATTATTTAAAAATAATGTTTAGTTGATTAATTGTAATCATTAATTATTGTTTTAATTTTATTAGTACATTTTATAATTAAAAATTGAATTTATTAATACCTATGACTTAATTAATAATTTTAATATTAATTACTAATAAATTATTCAATTATTTTTATTGACTAAGTATTTTATTAATTATTTAGTTTAATTTTTATTTTTTATTTGAATAAAAATATTAATAATAAAATAAGTATTTAATTATTTTTAGTTAGTTAATTAATTTATTCTTAACTAATTTTGTTAACTACTAATTTATCAATTAGTTAATTGTTAACATTAAATAATATTTTAATTTTATTATTAGAATTTTATTTTATTAATAATTTGACTTAATTAATAATTTTAATATGCTAATTAATATTTTATTATTTGCATGTTAATATATTTCATTATTTATTTTAATTATTTTATTAATCATTTTTTCAATATGTTATTAAACAAATAATAAAATATTATTTTTATTTTTTTGTTAAACAAGTTTTTCCCACTATTTCCACTTGTTTCTCACCAAAATGGTGGGATTTCACATCCCAAGAATTGGGATATATAACCCCACCTTTTTCTTGTACTTTAGCAAAGGAATAATGTTCTAGAATATTTCATATTTTCCGTTCCCATCCCAGGAACGAAAGAGCCTTAAGTTTCATGATAGTTGACTAATTCTCCTGTGGTTAGTGTGCAGTCACAATTCATCGCATGTGATACCATATGATTTATATAATTTCAAATTCTAATTTTACCCTTTTGGCCTTGGCCGCTCCTTCTCTGTTACGCTTGTTGGTGATTAATTGGGAATAGAGATCTCATTCGTTAGAGACTAGAGAGTAGAGTAGAGACCAGCGAGCAAGGTGACATAGGATGTCTATGAATGGATATCCATGGAGTGAGATGATGGTTTCCTCGACTCCAACTTATAAAGCAGAGCTCGTTCTCTATCGTGTCGTTGAAACCCAATAAGAATCTGAATTGATAAGGGGTGGAAGGATGTAATAGGAAAGTGAACAGGTGGATTTGTGATCAACAAGTTTTTACCTCGACATAAAAACAAGGGATTTCAGGCATTTTGTATTTAGGGGCTAGGGCTTCATTTCATTGCCAATGTACAGAACTGGAGCCATGATTAATTGTTTGCTATTTGATTTATGTGGAAATTGGTCGATTAGGATTGCACAGTTGCAAAGTGGTTTCCCTCCACACAATGTTTGAGGCCCGCAGCAGGTGAAAATAGCGAAGACTGCTGAATTGAAATTGAAACTTGATATTTCTTATCTGAATTGTAACTGCTTTTTCTACCGTCTTATTTTTCAAATTTTCAATATGGAGTTTATGGCCTCAGTTTAAATGTCTTCTCCAATTAATTTCACCCGCTTCAGCAAGGGGAACAAACCTAATTAAACTATTTATTATTCATACACAAAGAACAACAAAAGAATATAAGAAAGAAACAAGAATTACACAAACCCAACTTGCGAAGGGACATGGCAGGAAGTGTTTAAGGTGCCAACCAGCAGGTTAGTAACGTTTCCAGCTGGTCGTAATTTGTGTTGGTTTTATCAGGTCATCTTAGGCAAGCCAAGGGGATTTTTAGGTTGAGGTACCGCATGAAACAAGAATGCAAGATATGAAAATATGGGTTCAGAACACACCACCGGTGTGATACCCAAGTCATGTATTTATAGGTATAAGTAGATATGGATTACAGTACGGATAAGAGATAGGTAGGTTACAGAGGATAAAAGATAAGTGATAAACTATAGGAGTTCAAGATAGGCTAGGATACAAGTGGCTAAGTCTATCACAATACTGGGTTAGTGGGAGGCTCGTTTACAACAGTTTTTTTTTTTTCCTGTTGATTCCTACTCTGTATCTCCATTCGTTTTTTTCTTACTAAAGGTTACAACAACTTTTTTTCTTTCTTTTCTATTGATTCTTACTCTATTAATGCATGTAACTTCATACCCTGAACATGTCTCTGCATTTATTTATTTTTTTGTTGTTTCAAATTATTCTTCAACTCCCTTCATTTATCTTTTTTTTGGATTGGATACATAGTTCATTATGCCTCTTAAGACTCCTTCAATTTTCTTTTCTTATTCTACATTTTTTTTCTTGTAAATGCTTCCCCCCTCTTGGAACACTGCAAGATCTTAAATCCAATATGAATGGTCTTCATTCTTCAAACCAGTTCAAAATGGGAATACACAAAAAATAAATAAATAAAACTAGAGGGTTAAGAGTCTTGGAGAGAGAAAGGTTCAAGTACTATTGTGCCACATCATCCACAAAACAAGTCTTGTGATGTGGAATTGGAGAATGCATATGGACACATCAAAGTGGGATCAATCCAACAATCCTACAAGATTTGACAGGATAGTTGGTCTTAACAGATAGATACAGGTGACAGGATTGGGAAAAAAAACCCCTTCTCATCCCATCCTTTCTCTTCCCATCCCATCCTTTCTCAACAACCAAACGGACCATTAGGTCATAGATTGTTTCCGGCACATGTGAAGGAGATGGATGAAACTATGGAGAATTTTCCTCCAATGATGGGTGTGATATAAAGTGGCCTCTTTCTGTCCAATATTCTCTCCCTACCCACACTCTCTGGCTTGAATTGCACAGCCATACATAGCTATCTTGTATTGTGCAAGGTTTTTAAAACTAAATCGGACAATGAACTGGACAAAGGTCCAGTTCCTGGGTCGAACAGTCCGACCGTTCAAACCGAACAATTGGCCCATTCTGAAAAAAAATTAAAAAATAAAAAATAGTCAAAAACATTGAACGATTCGAATGGTTCAATGATTTGCTGACCATATCAACGTTTTTTTAGGAAAAATCTAATTTTGAAGAAAAACAGAACCAATTCTCGATTTTTCTGTCTGACCGTCCTGTCCGGTCCGATTTTGAAAGCCATGGTATTTGAGATGTGTGACTGCAATATAGCGTGGATAAGGTGCAGGTAGAGAAAGTGAGTATCTCACCTCAGAAGCGTGTGATGATTCTAATTATCAAGTTTTAAAATATCAGCCACTTGGCAGAGTTTACCAATTCTTTTTCCACTTGTAAATTTTTTGTAGCAAGTTGAGTGTATCGGGATCCATCTTCTTTTCATACAGTGGTATCATAAATGTACCTCTTGTTGATTATTTGACATATAAAATAGAAAGTTGAGAGAAAGTTATTAAGGTCAAATATAAATACATGGTACACATGTTATTTGTTTATGTGCCCGGTCAGTCTTGTTGTGGTTGTCAGTAGGGACTTAGGCCTCGATTAATTGGAGATTTTACCAGGCTGGGCTTTATTGTTAGTTCTGTCGGTATTAGGTAGCTGCTGTAGCCTGTAGGTGGCATCTCATGGTTAGCAGATTTGGGTTCGAATGGAAAAGCCTTTAAAGGCCTGTTTGGGAAAGGCTTTCAAGCACAACTGTTGCAAGGTAAGCCTTACATGGAAAGCCATGAAACTATGTTTAATGAAAAGTCTGAAAAACCAAAAATAAGTTCACATGAACTGAGAAATTAACTTTCAATTCCGTTGAAACTATTTTCAGTAGCATCTTTGAATCAGTTGAGTCAATGCAGCTCAACCAACGTTTAAGACCCACCCAATGGGCACTAAAAAAAAAAAGATCTTGACCTTGACCGCTGAAGACCTGAGGAGGGATCCAAGTTTTACTAATATCCCTCGGCTGCTTTTCAAGAGAAATGGTCATCTTCTTAGCCACCGGAAAGAAGCAATGCATACGAGAGAGTTGTTCCTCTTTCTTTTTTGCATGCTTCTAAGCTTGGGCTTCATTAATGCACAAGCACAAATACAATTCCTCACCAAGCGGTGTCTAGGAGGCAATTACACGGCTAATAGCGCCTATGAATCAAACCTAAAAACCATCCTTTCATTTCTGTACTCTAATTCTACACACGAGAATGGTTTCTACAATGCCACCGCCGGCCAGGATCCAGATAAAGTCAACGGTCTCATTCTATGTAGAGGCGATGTCACAGCTCAAGAGTGTCAGAGTTGCATCATCAATAAAATAGGTCAGGAGATCATGACTCTTTGCCCCAACAAAAAAGAGGCCATTATCTGGGTCGATGATTGTATGCTTCGGTATTCAAACAGATCCATTTTCTCAACTCTGGAGATACAACCAACCGCTGCTCTAGTGAGCGTAGCCAATTCTTCCTACCCAGATGGGCGCAGTCAGAAGGTAAAAGAACTCTTGGACAGCCTTGCGAATCAGGCAGCCTTTCACTCATCCACTGCCATGTTTGCTACTGGGGTAATACAATCAACCTACACGGTAGGTGGGATAATTGGGTTTGAGAAGATATATGGGCTAGTTCAGTGCACTCCTGATATATCCCAGAATGATTGTCATAGATGCCTAACAGCGGCAGTCAGTCACCTCTTCGACTGTTGCAAAGTGAAACTTGGTGCCAGAGTTCTCCAACCGAGTTGTAGTATTAGGCATGAGGACCACATGTTTTATGCTTCCAAGGCTTCTGCACCATCTCCGTCAACTCTTGTATCTCCTCCGTTTACACCACTGACGAACACAACAAATACAGAGGGTAAGCATATATAGAATCTTTTGGAATATGATCTTTTTTTCTTTTTACCCAAACATTCCCGGCCCCGACTTTGTCTAAAATTTTCCGGCCGGTAGATGCAGGAAAGGGAAGAAATTCAACTGGTGTTATCATTGCTATCGTGATTTCGACAGTTATTGGAGCTATAATTCTTTCTATCCTATACTTCTTCTGCTTACGGAGTAGGAAGCCCAAAGAACATATCGACATAGTTGGTAAGTAACTGCCTTTCATGCCTATATGCACTACCGCTTAATTTCAAGCTTCAAATTAAATTCAAATGCCTAGGAGAGCTAGCCTTTTCTTTATCCTTTTCCTTTTCCTTTTTTTCTTTTGGCCGGAGGAGGGGGTTGGATCCATTGTCTACACTCTGTGCTCTCAGTTTTACCCAAATAGAAGAACCAAATGATTTAAGACGCAGCGACTCATTTAATTAATTTTCATGTTTCTTGTGAAGATGTTGAGAAGATTAACAATGTGGAATCTCTGCAAGTCAACTTTTCCGCAATAAAAGCTGCCACAAACAACTTCTCTAATGATAATAAGCTTGGACAAGGTGGCTTTGGTGACGTTTATAAGGTAATACTAAAACTAAAGTTTTTAATATACCAACTTACTGCTACTTGTATAGATCGATCCAAATTAATATGTTTCTTGATGTTGAGTCTTACGTCTTAATTATATTGAAAATATTAATATTTAATAATATGATCAGGGTAGGCTTTTAGATGGACGAGAAGTGGCAGTGAAGAGGCTGTCTAGAAATTCTGGACAAGGTGAAGTTGAGTTTAAAAATGAGGTTCTGTTGGTGGCCAAGCTTCAACACAGGAATCTTGTTAGGCTACTTGGCTTCTGCTGTGAAGGTCAAGAAAAGCTACTCATCTACGAGTTCGTGCAAAACGCAAGCCTCGATCACTTTATATTTGGTTTGGCTCCATTAATGTTCCCTTCTGCTGTTTCCAGTTATAGTCTTACAAGTTGGGATAGAATGGCTAGACATAATTATTTACCTTTAGGCTGTGTTTGATTTGAAGGAAAGGAAATGTAGGGGAACCTTTAAAAACCTTGTATAGGTTTCCCTATGTTTTCCTTCCTTTCCTTACCTTTTCCTTCAAACCAAACATAACCTTTAGTTTGATAGAAAATAAGAGAGATGCAATAAGTTGAGGGGAATTCTTCAAAAAGAAACTTGTGAAATTACTTAAAGAATTTTCTCTCAACGTTTTGCTTTTCCCTTATCAAACCAAATACACCATCAGGTTCTAAAAAACGAGTAATTTTAAGTACTTTGGGCTAGTCTCACTTTGTCCTCAACTTTTAAATGTGCCACTTTAATACCTGAACTTTCATAAATATACATTTAAATCCAATAGACCTATTCATGGACCAGGTAGCCTAACCGGCCATTCTAAGTCAAGCTTGGACATGACTTTAGGCCTGTAGGCTTGGGCTTGGGCCTAAAACACCGGGCTCAACCTTTTTTTGAGCCGGGCTCAAGATTTCTCAAAAAGCCCAGCATGAATCCAAACCCGACTTGATAGTATATATTATATAATAAAAAATATATATACAATAATTTTTTATTTGTTCCTCTCCTCTTTTTTCAAGTAATAGTGAGATCTTTTATTATTTTTGGATTTTGAGGGCTTTTGATATAAATAAAATACTTTTTTTTATTGAATAAAGAACAAAAACAATCTGTTTTCAAATTTCTAACTAGGCTTAAGCACAGGCCTGAGCTTTGGGCTTTATATGAGGGTCAGGCTCAGTCTTAAGACCTAGGCCCAATGGTCGGGGCGGGCTCGGTCTTGAACCTGAATGTATTCTCTTGATACAGAGACAAAGCCCAGCTTGTGAACAGGTCTAAATCCAAATCCATTAAACTAACATTAAGGCAAGGCAAAATTATAGAAATGGCCTTAGCTTGTTCTAGTTCTCTTTTTCTTCTATTCATCTTCTTCTACCGTTGGACTTCAGACACAAACCAGTGATTGCAATGTAAGTTTACCTTGATTTGTTCATTGGAGCTAGTCTAAATTTTGGATGCTTACTTTGCCTGCTGATTTGTGTCTGAAGTCCAAAGGCAGAAGAAATCTGAACAATGAAAAAGAAAAAAAAGAGTCAGAACAAGGGCATTCTTATAATTGTACCCCAGCCTAGCATTAGTTTAATGGAATTTGGTTTAAATCTATATTTCTGGAAGTCCAGGTAGTAAAGCGACACATTTGAAAGTTGAAGCCCTAAAGTGAGACTACCCAAAGTATAAGATATATACTTGTGTGCATCTAATATGGTAGTGATTGCAAAATCAATGGTTGCTTGAGTTGCGAGAATAAAAAATCATTGGTTGTTTCAATTAATTAATAAGCACTAAACTATCTAAGCGCTAAATTCATCTTTAATTTGGATGAGTATATATGTAGACCCAATCAAACGAGTGCAATTGGACTGGGAAAGGCGTTACAAAATTATAGGAGGCATTGCTCGAGGGCTTCTTTATCTTCATGAAGATTCTCGACTGAAGATTATACATCGGGATCTGAAAGCAAGTAATATCTTGTTAGATGAGGATATGAACCCCAAAATTGCAGATTTTGGCATGGCAAGGCTTTTTGTAGTGGATCAAACTCATGCTTGTACGAGTAGAATTGTTGGGACATAGTAAGCTTTACTTTTACCTCTATATACATGGATTATTGCTTTATGTCCTAGTTTCCAAGAAGCTGCTTAAATATTCTAGGCAACAAAATGGCTTGTAGTTGAACACATTGTTCTTAGGGAGGTTTATACACTAAGCCATTTTTAATTATGAGAAGATATGAATGTGTGACAAACATTCAATCATTTAATTAATCCAAGACTTGATTTTAATTGTAGTGGTTATATGGCTCCCGAATATATAAAGCATGGGCATTTCTCAGTAAAGTCAGATGTATTTAGTTTTGGTGTCATACTTATAGAAATTGTGAGTGGTGAAAGAAACAATTCTTTCCACCAATCGGAGCCCTATGAAGACCTCTTAAGCTATGTAAGTATGCATACTAGAATGATTTATTTGTGTATATTACAATTAATTTTTGTATAGCTTTCAATACTCTAAATACAAACCAAATAATTAACTTAGACTTTGCTTTCAAATCTGTGTCTTGAAATTGTTGCAGGCATGGAGAAATTGGAATGAAGGGACGGCAATGGAATTGGTAGATCCAACTTTGAGAGAAGGTTGCTCAAGACAAGATGTGATGAGATGCATTCACATTGCATTGTTATGCGTTCAAGAAAATGAAGCTGATAGACCTACCATGGCGTCAATTGTGCTCATGCTGAATAGCAACTCAGTCACACTCGCAATACCTTCATCTCCTGCATTCTTCCTGAATAGTAGAAGAATGGGGTCAGAGGTGCCTTCTGGTGAGAATGATTCAAGAGCAACTGAATCAACGGCTTCTGCAAATGAAATGTCACTAAGCCAATTTGATCCCCGGTAATGTTGATCAATATTGGGTATTAACATTGGAAATTACATTAATTAATAAGATAAGTACATCCTAGACTCCGATTATGAGTTGCCCACAGTAGAGGTCTGTTGATTAATAACTGTTGTAACTTAATATTGGATTAGAAACCGATAAATATGGGGGTATTTGGTATAGTGCTGTTGTGTTGCATACACTTTTGGGTTGACCAATTCGGTCAAAGCTTTTTTCATGCCATTGTCTTTCTTGCATCATAGATTTTTTCTTTTAAATATTAAATTTGATATTTTAGGTAAAAATACCTATTTGTATTTGTCAACTTAAAATAGTTTTCAAAACATTTCAAGTAGCAAATCATTACCAAACACTCCTTATAAAAATTTTGTATTGTTTGTTATGGCAGAATTCAAGAAAAAACAAGAGAAAATGCAATAACAAAGAAAATCACATTAGATTTAATGTGATTCCGTGGTTTATGTGTTTATGCCATCATTTCTATATCCTCCCATTTGGCACTATGATGACTGATGAGGGCATCCTTGCCAGAATGTCGATCTCCTCAGACAAATATTCGGGAATAGGAAGTTGAGTACATCTCTCTACCCTGTAACAAGTCTTTTTTTCTAACTTAGCTGAAGGCAAACATGTTGGGTAAGGGAATATGAGGCCCGAAGTGGGTATCAGGCCCAATTTGTGAATGATGAAGCATCTTCAAAGCCTAGGATCCACAATACATAGTATGGGTCCGTTTGGTTTGCTGTCAGAATTGGAATCGGAATCGGAATGGTCTATTCCCATAATCAGTTTGGTTTAGACAGGAATGGAAATAAGAATTGAAATCAACAGGAAGGGAAGGATGTGGCGGGAAATGGCAATTCCCTCAAATGGGGGAATGCCATTCTAGCAGGAATGGAAATGAGATTCCGGTTTCACTCAACTAAATAGTTAGAATTGGAATAGCCCATTCCGATTCCAATTCCAAACCCCTATTCCTGCGAACCAAATTGGGCTAGTATATGTATTCTGTATATGAGAACAATTGGATCTCAAATCAGTTTCAATCATACAATTGTAGTCCAGTTGCGTGTAACTCCATTTATTTGGAGAGTTGAAAGTGTTTATGTTAAAGACAAAAAAGTTTTAGGCCCTGTTTGGTTTACGTGAGTAGGGGTTTGGAATCCGAATTGAAATGGGCTATTCTAGTTCCCATTGTTTGGTTGGGCAGAATTGGAATTCTATTTCCATTCCTGTTGGGATGAAATCCCATTCCTGTTGATTCCGATTCTCATTCCTATTCCTGTCTGAACCAAACAGATTATAGAAATGGATCATTCCAATTCCGATTCTAAAAGATTTCGATAATAATTCTGACTATAAACCAAATAGACCCTTGGACTATATTTGGTTGAATCAATAAAATTTGAGAAAAGATAAAAAAAGCTTTATGCTCTCTATATTTTTTTTACCATTTTACTTGCATCTCTTCTTCTTCTATGATGATAGAAGCATTAAACCTATCCGATTGATACATTTCTATCCCTAACTTGTGCTTTATATCAACAGCCGAATGTCTGACAGCTTTCAACTGATGGAAAATAAGGTGGGCCAAGCTTGGGCCGGCTTATCTCTGTAATTGAGATGGGCCAGAATTAGATTAGCAGCATATTGTAACTAACGACCCATGTTCGACCAGCCCATTGTGTCCAATTACTGCAGTACTAGTATGGTATTGATAAGACGATAATCATTTAGTTTTAGTTACTCATTGATTTTCTGCCGGCGAACCATCTCATCAGTATACTTGATTCTGGAGTTTACATGCATTCTTGTAAAATTGATAAAAAATGTTTTGACGGTAAATATTGTATCTGATTTAGTATATTTCAGGAAATTACATTTTTATTTATATATTTATTAGCGGGCTGTGAGGTTCGGGAAGCTCATGGCTGATTTAAAGAGTTGGAGTCATCATCCATTATTTAGAGGAAATGGTCCATCATTTTTAGATTTGAAAACTTGATTTAAGTCTTTGATAGTGACTTCATTTTCCAATGGACACAACCAAGAGATTTTGGGTTTTAAGGATTGGGAGAGGGAAGGTATTAGACACCCCTCTCTCCAAGTTGCTTTAACAGCCTAAAACATGAGTTATTCAGGCTCAGTTTCTTTTTAAGAAAAGGAAATAGTTGCAGAAATTTCTTAAATTTGGAGGAACATACTTTCACCTTCTCCTAAGACCGGTTTTGAGATTATGTTATCCGCTCTTAAGTATTGATTTCCCTAAAACCCTCACCTCTTTGCCTCTATTTTTAATCAAGAAGAAATTGAAAACGATGGTTCTCCAATATTTTAGAACTTCAACCAATCCAAAAAAACTAAAAAAAAAAACTTACCTTTCGTATGTACCTTGACAGGAGTTTTCTAGCAGTTAGGGACTTCAAATGAAACTTGGGCTGAACGTTTCTAGTGGAAGTTTGGGAAATAGGGGGTGAGGTTTCAGCTTGGCTTTAGGGATTTCAGAATTTCAAGTAGCATGGGTGCATTACAGAAGTTGGAAAATTGTCCTTTTCTCCTTTTCTTCTCCTTTTAGGGGCATTTCTTAGGTTTCCTTTCTTCAGCCCCCACCCCCTCCTTGAGCTCAAATTGGATCGGTATTTATAGAGAATGAGAGGGGGTCAAGTCTGAATTCACTTAACTACAGTGCCTGAGATTTCACAGAGATTTTTCCCACAAATAGGCAAAGATTCTAAAAGAAATAGGTGCCTAGTTAAGCTTTTCTATTTGGTAAAACACTTTCTTTGATTTAGGGGCGGTTTTCATGGGTTTTGTGCATCCAATAGGAGCTTAGGGCATGTCAGACGTTGCAGCCCCGTATTTGGGGCTGACAGTGGCAAAAAACGTAAATTTGATGAATTTTTAAAAGTTATTTTGTCTTTTCTTGGTCTTAAGTGGGGTTTGTTTGATATTTTGAGCTTTTTTGGTCTATTAGGCTCTGTTTGATTGGTACAAATGTTTCCATGGGGTTAAGTAAGGAGCTGACATCAGTCCCTACTTTCTTAAGATTTTAGGTTGGACAACTGATGTGGTAGTTAAATCTGGTATGTTGAAATGGTATCTTTCTAGTTTAACGAACAAATGGATGAATTTGGTCATGAAATTTGGTGTGCTGGGGTTTTTTGGGTCTCTGAATCACAATGGTGAGGTCTGATTAGAATGATGGAGATCTATGGCTAACAAGTTTGGATCAACGAGATTTGCTAAAGTAAAATCTTTGTTTAATGGAGGGTCAAATGGAGGAATTTTGGGATGAAATTTGGTGGATTGGCACTCTTGAACGTCCTGAATCTAATGGAAGTGACGGATCTTTAATGAAAGGTGTGGATTGATTGTTTTAGTTTAGATCATGGTCTTATCTTATGGTTTTTCAATGGAATCTTACTTTTTTAATGGTCAAACGGAGGTGTTTGGTCATGAAATTCAATGTGCTGGGGTTTTCTGAGTCTCCAAAGATAGTGGTAAGTTCTGATTGGTCATATAAAGTTGGGATGATGGATGGTAAGCTCTAATTAATGAGATTTACTGAAATAGAATCTTTCCTTGATGTTGGGTCAAACAGGTGAATTTTGAGCTACAATTGGGTCAGTAGGCATGGATTAAAGGGAGGAGTCAAGTGAATGGTCTAATCTGAGAAAGATTTGGTCGATCTTGGTAATCATTCAGGGCCATCAGAATGAGATCTTGATGTCTTAGTGGTTGGTTGTCGTAGATTCGTGGTGGGATTTTCTAGTTGATTGTTTCCTAATGATCTTGAGGTGATGGATATGTTGGATTTGATTTTGAGGAGTTGGGGTTTGATTATCCCATAGATCGGGGTCGTTAAAAAGGAAGCTAGCATGATGAACGGTAGATCTTTGTAGTCTAGTCATGGAAACTGATGTGTAACTAGGTTGTAGTTTTCCAAGTCTATGGATGATGTTTGATCGGACATTGATATTTATCTCAAGGTTTTTATTTGTCTTGTGGATTGTATTAGAGGAGGGTATTTCGGGTTTTGAAAAGTCTCAAGTTGATTTGGTTATGTTTCTAAGTATTTGGGGTCTATGATGAGGGTACAAAGAGGTAGGGTGAAGGGATCGAGCAAAAATTGGGTGCTAATACGGACTCTCATGTGATGCACGGGAAAATGATGTTAGGGCTTATTAGACTTAAAACTTATTGCTCTTTGGGGCTATACAACTCGCGGGTAGGGACAATTTTCCCCATCCCTGCTAAGTAGCCTATTCCCCGACCAGATGGGAATCGAGGATGCTGACTAAATTTTTTCTTGGCGGGGATAATGATTAAAGACAGGGATTAATTTAAGACTCAAAATCAGGATGAGGATTATGAATCCCGCCTTGAACATGCCCATTGTCATTCCTACCCTAGGGGTTATCCCCAAAACCCATAAAACCTTTCATAAATATATTTACAATAATTATGGCATTTATAAATATAGTATCTAATACTTATGAAAATTATTAAAATTTTCCAATAATTATGGCATGGCATGTATGTATCTGTGTAACTATGCATCCATAATCACACGAATGTATGTATATATACATCCCAACCCAACCCCAAACTTCAGTTAGGCTAGTGTTGGCCATAAATTGACCTCTAATAATTTGACTTGCACCCCTATTATATATTAATTTACATTATTTTAAGTTACTTTACATGGATTCTAATTTGTATTGGTTTTTTGTTAGGAAAATTTGTATTAAATTATTATTTTCATTCATAATTTAATATTTTGTTAAGATCAATTTAATTGATTATATATAATTATTAGAATGATATATTTAACTCCTAATATTATAATACCACACAATTTTCTTCTACTAAGTCCTAAGTTAAAATGTTTGTAATTATTTATTAATTTTTATTGGTTATCTAAATTAAGTTAAAATATTTTAATTTATAAAATTAATATTATTTAATTAATTATAATAATTATTAATATAATAGTAATGTTATATTATTACTATAATATATTAAACTCCTAATATTATATTATTATTGTACTGTGGCCTAATTTAAAAAAAGTACTACAATTATTTTAATATATGTAACTATAATTAATTTTATGTGGTGTCATATGGTATATGGTACCCATATACTTTACGGGACAATAGAAAATGGGTCAAAATTAATCCATTTTCAATTGTCTTCTTCACCCGACTTAAAAAAGGTTTTACGAAATCTAGATCATTTTTTTATGAATGTAACATAAAAATTAATTAATGGGCAATTTCCTTAAACTACCCCTACTATTTAGCTAATTGACAAACTGTACATCTGTACCCTTACTATTTACATATTGCCGTAGAGTACCCGTAAGTTTTCTGACAATTGTTAAGAACCTCTTTGTCGTTAACGCCTGTTATGGGAGAGACAAAAAATACCATTTTACCCATTATTCTCTTTCAAATTTTCAAAATGAAAGAGATTTTCAAGAACCATTGGCCGAAGACTAGTGGTAGGTGGTCCCGCGGAGCTTTCGGAGAAGGGTAGCCTAGTGTGTAAGCACAGCAATGAACCGCGGCGAACCCTCAGACGACCTATCTAAGATTAGGGGGGAGATCCTCAGTAGTGGTGACCCTTTCACTCTTCCACGGACTGATACATGTACCGAATGCTCATACGGGAAAGTTGACTCCTGGGTCTGGAACCTGGGGGGTTGCTCCGAGAAATCCTTTCTTTCTCATCCACTCAAGGGGTGCACAAAGAAAGTCAACAACAATATTGATTAGAACAAGAAGATCACCCCCTTTGGGGTTGATCAACTATTGTATTTATAGTTGTGTTGAGATAAGGTTTATCTGTACAATGATATACATGAGTGCAAGGGTATACATTAGATTTGTTAGAGGTAGAGTTTATCTGGGTTAGTTACAATAGATGATGGTGGTGAAGAGGTCGGTGGATGGGACATGCAAGATGATGCATGGGCCGATGCAAGGGTCGGATGAGTGGGCTCACTATCATCCCCCTCAAGCTGGATGGGGATTCACTAACGTGTAGCTTGCGAAGGAGATAGATGAGACAAGCGGCTGGCAGACTTTTGGTGAAGAGATCAACGAACTGAGCATCAGAGGGTATATGGCAGACATCCAAAAGTTTGCGAGAAACCTATTCTCAGACAAAGTGATAGTCCACTTCGATGTGTTTGAATAGAGCATGAAAGACAGGGTTTGAGGCGAGCGCAATAGCTGAAGTGTTTTCACACCATATAACTAGAGTGTAGAGAATGGGAATATGAAGTTCCTTGAACAGGGAACACAACTAGGAGATTTCCGCTACAGTGTGAGCAAGCGATGGTGGGTTGGTCCTTGGCACACTAGGAGATAGGATCGAGCCCAAGAAAAACACAAAAGTCATTAGTAGACTGACGATCCAGTGGACAGCCAGCCTAGCCAACATCACAATAAGCACTTAGCTGAATTGGGCCTGGTTTGAAGAAGATCCTGGAGGAGATGGTGCTTTTTAAATATCACAGAATCCGTTTAACAACAGCTAGGTAAGATTCAGTTGGGTGCTGGAGATGTTGGCAGTTTTGATTAACTGAGAAGGCGATGTTGGGCCTGGTGAGAGTTACATATTGGAGCTTACCAACTAAACTACGGTAAGTGGTTGGATTCTTTAATGGTGGGCTAGAGGAAGCATCAAGTCTTGAAGATGATGCCGGAGTGTGAGCGGGTTTGCAGCCACCCGTGTCTGCACGATCGAGCAGGTCTAAAATGTATTTGCACTAATGAAGTGATAATCCATCGTTGGTGCGGTTGACTTGAAGCCCAAGAAAATATGATAATGGGCCTAGGTCTTTCATTTTGATAGATGAACTGAGTTGTTTAATGAGAGAATAAATGGAGGGGTTGTTGCCCATTATAATCATGTCATCAACATACAGTAATAGTAAAGCATGTGTGTCTTCTTGATGGTAAACAAACAGAGAAGGGTCAGATGAAGAAGTGTGAAATCCAAGCTCAATGACAATGGACTTGAATTTGTCATACCAGGCACGAGGGTCTTGGCAGAGCCCATAAATTGATTTATGCACACGAAAAACATGATCAAGATGTGTAGGGTCCACATAGCCAGGAGGCTGAGACATATAAACCTCCTCTTGGAGGTCACTGTGCAAGAATGCACACTCTATGTCTAGTTGACAGAGTGGCCAACCAAGGGTAACCGCTAGTGAGAAAACAACACGGACGGTGGTATGCTTCACTACGGGGCTGAAGGTTTCAATGAAGTCAATGCCTAGTTGCTGATGAAAACAACACGGGCGGTGGTATGCTTCACTACGGGGCTTTGAATCGCTGTACAGACCCGTTTAGATTGCACTTGGTGTGGTACACCCATTTGTAGCCCACCACATTCATACCAAGTCGGTAAGGGACCAATGACCACGCCTTTTGCTCATGAAGTGAGTTTAGTTCTTGGTCCATGGCGGTACACCATTCAAGGTGTTTGGACGCTTGGGTGTAAGTGGTTGGTTCAGTAAGGTGTGAGGTAGTGAGAGATAATGGGAGAGGGTATTTGGTATTATAGGCTTTAGGCTTAAAGATCCCATATTGGGATCGTGTGACCATGGGATGAGTTCGTTGAGGAGCTGTTTGATAATGAGGTGGTGGTGGGCCAGGTGGTTTGGTGGAGATGAGGGGAAGCGTAGAGTTGAGAGGGGAAGATGAAGTTGAGTGAAGGTCTGGTGACGGTTCAGGTTGGGTTGTAGTGGGTGGGCCCATGGGGTGGAGTGATGGGGAATGGGTTGTAGCGGTGGGCCTTGGGTAATCACTTGTAGAGGGACTAAGTGCTCTTGTGAGTGACGGCGAACCAAAAGGAACCTGCACCCGTGGGGAGGCGGAGGACGTATGGGGAGGTGAAGGGGTGGTTGTTGTGGGCCAAACGATGTCTGTGGGCCCATGGATATTCGGAAGTCATGTTGAAATGGTGGATGGATGAAGTTTTGGCAGTGGGTCATTTGGGGTTGAGGAGAGAGATGGGAATGTGTGTTCATCAAAAACAACAAGGTGAGAAATGTAAATACACCCGTTTTGAATGTTGATACACCTATAGCCCTTGTGACAAATGCTATATCCCAGAAAGATACTGATAACTATGAATATATAACTCTAGCAAGTGCACTAGTTATCAAGTAGTATAATAATATCGTTCCCACGAGGATTAAACAAAATAAGTATTAGAATTACAGTCTTCCCTAATTATTTGGACAGTCAAAATTTAGATTTAAAGAAACAAGAATTACTGAAAATAAAAACTGGAACAAAGAAAATAAAAACAAGGGTGATCACTAATCGAATATGCAAATGATGGAATCRCTAGGACTTTTGGTCCACCTAACCAATGCAATGAATATTGATGGGTCCAATTATCCAAGACTAATTGTTATTCCCATAAGCTGAGATTTTCACAAATTTATTTAGTATTATCT